CAGCACGTAGTAACTAAAATTCCCCGTTCGCCACTAGTAGCAGAGCTAACTTGTTTTATTCCCTTTTTGGCAACAATTTTTTTTGGTTTTTGAACTGTAGTTGTTGCAGTCTCGTCTAGGTTCTAAATACGTGTACCATCTGCAAATTCAGGTGTACGACTAAAAATCTCCTCCAAGTTGTTGAAAAATTGATTCACGTTATGTTGGTTGAAAGAAGTTGCTCGTGAAGACTGCATCCTTCCGGTTGCCTTACAGATAAATTTGGGTGACGCGCCATAAAACAATGCAGCCATTCCAAACCAGCTTTTTTTTTGATACGCCAATTCTCAGGAATATTGATTTGGTTCGCAATTGCCACTTCGTAGGCTAAAGAACGCAAGTCCTTCCTCGATGTGCCATAGCACATCTTGGCGTAAATAACAACATATTCTTCTAAGGTGTCCTCTTGCTCCGGAGTGAAAATTTGACGGCAGACATAATTGGGTGTAAGCCGGATATTTGAACCCTCACCAGCAGTATTTTGTTTTTTCACGTATCGTTGTAGAGTTTGAAACTTTATCCCAGTCCTTTCGGCAGCTTTCCTCAGGCTCATTTTTTCCTCAATCAACAATCGAACCGCGGCCCGCCCCATCTGTTCTTTAGTGAAATCACCTTTTGTTGTCTTTCGCTGTCTACCTCTGGCCATTTTGGAGCCCTAAAAATCGTTACATTCCAATTTTTAACGTAAAACAATAGATGGTTTATAATGTTCCACAATGAGACACCTGTCTCATTGTGGAACAAAAAAAGTGCCTCCATTGTAGAAATATTCCGCATCTACTTCAAAAATTCACCCACAATAAACTATGCATGCTACGCCCTTGAATAAAGCAACATAACTTCACCTTTGGATGAACTAAACATAGCTACTTATGAAAAGCCCATAAATCTATCGGTTTATTTTAAACAGAGGAATAAAAAAAATTACATACCTTTCATAACACAGGCCCACCAGTTACTGGTACGGAATGGCGATACCTGTTGCCTTAATATCTGAGAATCCCGCGCAGGCGGTGTTATTTAAGCGCGCGACATAAATCTGATATGGCGGTAAATTTGAAAAAAAAACTGTTTGTCTCACTGTGGAACATGTCTCATTGTGGAACACCTTCCCCTACATAAGATCCGAAAGGCTATGGATATCCATAGTATCCTTTATCAGGTGCAGAGTACAGAAACGTTGTAGACCTACAGTGGACATCTATAGTATCTACACTACCGACATATAGTGTTATTACCAAGGTATCCCGTTTATATATTTAATATGGGTAGTAGATATACATATTTAGTTTAATCATGACCTTGTTTTCTAGAAATATGTTACAATAAGTGTATATAGATTTTATATATACAGGGTATTCTAAAGGTACATTTTAGTTTTTGAAATACTAATAACATTGTTCTGAGATTCCATAATTTTAAGAATATTGTCTGCAAAGCAGTAGTAGACCAACTAGTTCACAAATCTATAGTGCATGATGTAGGAATTACTGGCAACAACACCCCTCAGAGCAATGTCAAAGATTCTGACGAAGACACATTTTATTTTTATAAGGTAAAGTGGGGTAAGTGCAAAATCGGGAAAAGTGCAATCATGGATTACTATTTACCATAGAATAACCTAAGACGTGATATTTTTGGTTGATTTGAAACATTTTGGTGTCCTCTGGAATGTAGCAAAGCCGCCGTATGTTTTACTCGCTTCTTTACCGACAGGTGGATTACAATGTAAAAACAGCTGTTTTAAGTCAGTCATAAAGTGGAACAGTGTGTCAGAAAAAAAGCGTGTAACGGTGTGTATATTGAAATTAATTTTGACTGAATATGTGCAAACACCATTAAAACCATTGATTGAGATATGTAAGTATTATATTTGAAAAAGTTGCCATTTTTTAGCCATTTATTTACATGACTACATTTGCCCCGCCATAAAGGCTGTTAGGGAAAGTGCAATCAAGATGGCAAGGGAAAGAGCAATCACATGACTGCACTTTCCCACCTAAAGAAAATAATGTTACTATTTTGTTTCATTATTACAGCGTTCATTAAATACATGATGGTACGACACTACGTTCGTAAAACAACTAGGGGCACACAATATACTTCGGATACTCTCGAAATAGCAATTTCTGATGTTAGAAGGGGAGTTACAACACTAAGAAGAGCTGCAGAAACGTATAAAGTTCCATACAGTACCTTGCAAAGTTACATAAAGGGCAGACGCGGTAAAAAAAGCCAGACTGGTGGTCGTGCGCCTGCATTACCCATTGAGGAAGAAAGGAAATTGTCCGAATATTTGAAGATTATGGAGAAATGGGGATTTGGGATGTCCCGAAAAGAGGTAATGGACTGCGTGGAACAATATGTATTAGAAAATAATGAAAGGACACCTTTCAAAAACAACAGGCCGGGGGAGGATTGGTTTTTGAATTTTAAAAAGAGACACAACCTTTCTGTAAAGAAGCCCCAATCTGTGGAGTACTCAAGAAAGAAAATGACGGATCCTTTCATCGTGCATTCTTATTTTGATTTACTCTATAGCACCCTAGAAAGTTTGAATTTATTTCAGAAACCAGCACAGGTATGGAACCTAGACGAAACATCCGTATGCACTGATCCGTCTAAAACTAAAATTATGGGTGCCAAAGGGAAAGCCAGTTCCAGAACCACCGGTGGCTGCGGTAAAGAAAATATCACCTGTTTGAATGCAGTGAGTGCTTCTGGTTCGAAAGCACCCCCGCTGATCATTTTTAAGGGAATTAACGTGTGGAGCACATGGATTCCTGACCAAACCAAAGGAGAGGAGTCATACCCCGGTACGGTTTATGCTGCTAGTTCAAACGGCTGGATAACGTCGGAAATATTTCTGAATTACTTTGAGAAGACTTTGATACCTGCATTAGGACCTGAACGTTCTAGTCTGTTAATATATGATGGACACGCTACACATCTTTCATCTAATGTTGTCAAATTGGCCCAACGTGAAAATGTAATTATATTGAAACTCCCTCCCCACACAAGCCATCTTTTGCAACCTTTGGATTTGTGTGTCTTTAAATCTTTGAAAGTACAATGGGATCAAAAGCTTTGCACATGGCAGCGAAATCATTCTGGAATGCGTATTCCCAAAAAGGAATTTGCTACTTTGCTAGGATCAGTTTGGGGAAACGTTAAACCTGAGATTATTGAAAGTGGATTTAGAAAAGCCGGAATTATGCCATTTAATCGGAATGTAGTGCCTAAAGAAAAATTTGATCCGGAGGCATGGAAACGTTGGGAATTGTCTCAAAACAAAGAAAATAATATTGAAATTGATGAGGTTAACCACAATCCCGAAAACCAAAATAATCGTCTTTCATTTGAAAATATATTATTAGAAACCGTTAAACAAAGACCTTTATCCGCCACAAATCAAAAGAGGAAAAGAATTGCCCAAGGCGCTGAAGTTATTACTGCCACAGAAGTAAGTGAAAGGATTGAGAATGAAACCCAAAAGAAATTAAAACAGAAGTGTAAGAAAACCCAACCTTCACCAAAGAAAAAAGTCTAAACCAAAAAGTACAGCACCAGCGATACAGATTCGAGTGAAGAAAATCTGAGTGATCCGCAATATATAGACACAGAGGATGATCTAGATCCAGAAGATTTTGAAGAAGATGATCTGAATACAGAAAATTCTGAATACACGCATCACGAAAATTTTGAAAATCTACGTCCCGAAAATGTTGACGGTCAAATTCCTGAAAATTTTGAAGATATGCATCCAGAAAATACATCACTTGACGAGGGTCAATTGGAGGAAACAAATAATGACGATAAAGAATGTAATTCACACAGTGAAGGGGGAATGAATATTAAAAAGAACTCGAAAAAATGGAATTTGGGATTGGAAGATTTTATAGTGATCAGATTTGACCGAAAGGACACTGGCATCAAGTGCTATATTGGAAAGATCTTGGAAATTGAACATGAAAAAGATACCCTTTATTGCAGTAGTATTGAAGTAGATTACCTTTATATTTCTACAGAGCAGAGAATAATCTAGCCAGAAGGGAACTTCGTGATGCCACCAATATTCTTACTATTCCTGAAGAGTCTTTCAGAAAAATCTTCCGACTGTCAAGAAACACGGCGCATCTCTTGCTCTTGGAAATCAGTCACTTCCTGCAAGAACAAAGGAGACCAACAATTTCCCTCAGCCATCAGGCCAAATTTCTGGCAGCTCTTCATTTTTTTGCACAAGGAGGGTACCAGAAGGAAGTTGGACAGGACTTTTACTCTCCCATGTCTCAAGCATCAGTGAGCCGCTGCATTGAAGATGTGGTCAATGTGATGAATGATCATTTCGGACATCACATACATTTTCCGATTAATCCAGCCGAAAGAAGAAGAGAAAAACAATTATTTCATCAAAAACTTGAAGGGTTTCCTGGAATCATAGGCGTTATAGACGGAACACACATCGCCATTCAAGCACCGCCTACTGATGATCCTACATATCCAGGAATCGTATACTATAACAGGAAGGGCTACTATAGTTTAAATGTACAAATAATTTGCACTGCCGACCAGCGAATAATTGGAATAAATGCTCGCTTTCCCGGCTCAGTTCACGATTCCGCAATATGGACAACCAGCGAAGTGTATCGTCATTTGCGAGATCTGCATGAAATTGAAAAAACCTCTTGGCTACTTGGAGATTCAGGATATCCCCTGCAGCCTTGGCTCATGGTGCCAGTGGGAGGGCGAAACTTAGATGCCCATGAGGAAAGTTTCAATAGGGCATTTCGTAAAATAAGAAATGTTGTGGAGAGGACAATTGGACTTTTAAAGGCAAGATTTCGATGCCTCCTAAAACATCGAGTTTTGCATTATCATCCAGTGTTCGCATCGAAAATTGTAAACGCATGCGCCATGCTTCATAATATATGTCATTTGCACAATGAAAATCCTATGGAAGACATCGAGATCGAAGAAGAACTAGAGGAAAATGACGAAGATGTAGATGATCCAGCTGCAGCCGAAGCCGCGGGAAATTATCTACAAGAAGGAAGAGCAATTAGAAATAGGATAATTAGAAATTATTTTTAATTCACATTAATTAGGTACGTATTTGCTACGATTAAATAAAACTACGGTTTTTTGTTCACATTTGTTTACCTACACTGTACTCTTATCAAGTGTTAAACAGCGATTATATATTTTAAAAAAAATATATAAAAAATTTTAAAGCAAACCTCATGTGATGAAGATTATATTACACTTGCCCCGTCAATTTATACATATGCGTAAATGAGTCTAATAAGCCGTGGTTGCACTTTCCCACTTTGGCTGGGGCCAAAATAAAAAAAATTATAACATACTTCTGTTTTGTGTTGTAAAGGAAATATGAGCCAAGTCAGTTAAACAACCTTACAAGGAATCAATATTAACTAAAAATCATTTTTTTAATCTTAAAACTGCACATGTTATACTTAATTGAAGTTGAACTATTAAAAAACATGGTCGCACTTACCCCACTTTACCTTAACTAATAACATTGTCAGATTCTATCATTTCAAGAATTTCGTCAACAAGTCTTCACAAATTTCTACTTACTCAGATCTACTCTGCAAGAACATACTGCCATGCTAAATGCACTTATGTCAAAACATGTCGAGTTTGGGGCTGAGGTAGAAGCAGTTGACGAAGATATTATATGGCGTTACTTCTCGTGCAAACTGAAGAAAACTTACCTACACAAATTGGAAGAGTAAGTACCTACTTGAAATCCAAGGAGCACTTCATGTCATTTGTAAGTTACCGTAAAACGAGGTGGCTTTGTGACACCCGGGTAGACAAAAGTTGTATTTACATAGTGGGACGTGGTATATAAAGTAGGTAGTAAGTTGGGTAAATAGATGCCCTAATTGAAGAATGCCCCATATGTAAACAAAACAAAAGCAGTAAAAAGTGCCACGTGATCATGGAATTGCACAGTGTACACGTGTGGCTGGGGTAAGTATACATCAGTAAGTAAATTGTTTTATATTTTTAGATGGGTGTATTTGAAAATTTACCTCTTCAGGCGTAAGAGCGATTGGCCTTTTCTTCAAATACAATAATTTTTATTGTTTTTGTAACCAGTAGGTACCCACCTACCAATGTGTAGTTTTCAAGAATACAGTATAAATAGGTAAGTACTCTTAAATAACAATTTGTGAATGTTACTAATTTTTCTTTTATTTACAGGTTTCCAATTACTGGGATCAATTCAATTGTAAGCTGTATCTATTAATTGCTGTTGTTAATTGCACGATTAAATCATTCATTGTAGCTACTTTATGTATAATAAACTAACACCTCTTTTTCCAGTATGAGTAACAGTTCATAATTAACACATTAACTTACTTTAATTATGTACTTCTGTATGATTTGCCTCAAAATAAATTGAAATTAAACAGTTTAACTTCCTTTGATTTAGCAAATTCATAATCCATAGGTGAGAAATACGACCGCAAATTTGAACTACAATGTATTTCTAGCTATACATGAATTACAACTACAAAGAATTGCTGATAAATTTCCTCGAATATCGAGTTGTACAGAATAGGAAATTAGCACAGCAATATTCTACCACATCCAGTGAATTCTGGAGCCGTATTTCGCAGGAGGTTTCTCTACATCTGGAGGTAAGGCAGGTGTAGCATCAGGATAGACCGCCGGTGGTTCGGGCGCGGGCTTCGGTCGGTTGGTCTTATGTACCTTTACTTCGGCAAAGTATCCGTAATAAGGCCGCTCGATTTGATAATTATCGAACATGCATTTATCGAAAACGGCTTGTGTTTTACGGCAGCTAGAAGCAAACCATTCAATCAAGTTAAGAGAGCACGAATCACTTACACAGTAAAGTCTTGATTTGTACTCGATTTATCGAGACACGTAACATATTGCTGATATTCGCCGGCACACGATTTTTTCACTTTACGAAAGAAATTTAATGCACAACTGGTCACGGCTTTCCCTTCGTTAATACATTTCCTAGGATCGTTCAGCTCCTTACGGCACAGCACAAATTCCTACAAAAAAGACGAATTGCGGCCAAGTGATTAGATAATTAACCTCACATTATTCTCGAACTCGCAATCCTTTCCTAAATGAAACGCGCCGGCACGGAGAGCGGGGCCCGATAAGTTGATCTCTTGCACCGTTAATTCCTCATCTGTAGGTAAATAAGTGTCTTTGGTAATTCCCATTCTAATTTCTAACAACAAATAATAAGATGGGTTAAATTTTTAATTTACTACTTCCAAATTAAAATAAACACAGACGGGAACTACGAAGTCGTTATAGGTATCTGCCGCTGTCACTGTAAAATGTTGCGGTGGTTCGCTCACCCGCTAAAATCTGTGCACGGAGAGTAACCGTTTCGCTAGCAGATGGCGCGCAGTGTTGCAAACTACAGATTTTTCGGAGGTAAACAGTTACAATATACAGTGGAGGTAAACAGAGTTGTATTTTACTTATACCGCGTGGTGCCCAGCGCGACGCAGCATAGGGATTTCAATGGTAATTTCTTTATAGTCAATTACTAGCTCCCCTAATTATTTTAGAGCAAAAGTCTAAGTTTTTTTTTAGAGAAAAAAATACTGAATCTGTTCATGCTATTACTCATAACCGTAGAAATCAACAAAATAAAAAGGTTCATTTTACAATAAATCAAATATGCCTTGGAATTGCCTAAAAAAAAACAGCGATCACGTTTCATTATTTGCCTTTGAAATTAACTAAAAGTATGAACAGATGCAGTATTTTTTTCTCTAAAAAAAACTTATTTAGACTTTTGCGCTAAAATAATTAGGGGAGCTAGTAATTGACTATAAAGAAATGACCATTGAAATCCCTACCCAATAAACAGACATATAAAACATACATAACAAATATGTAAGATTAAGATAAAAACTTATATATTTAGTTTTTTATGTATCATATATATATATATCAGAACTACTATGTTATTTAGGAGTTCATTAATTTTTATATTTGAAATTTATACTTGTTTATAAATTAGTTAAAGAACTGCAAGTGCAACACAGAGTTGTATATAAGTAAATAGAGAGGCAGTACATACGACCTGCGCGTGGAAAAATAACTCCAACTACAGTGGCCGACTTTTAATGGCGGAGCCGACTCATGCGCAGTGCGTGAAAGGGAATCAGCACGATTTTTGGGTGCATTCAGTTACATAATCACAAAACAAAACAGCAATAACTTTTCAGATGCTTCAGCTTCATTTGTAAATAAACAGACGCTTTGGAGTACATAATAATTTAAGCATGCCCATTACATTATACTCTTTACCGCCATTTCAATGTTTAGTAGGCGACGATCTGTACTTCTGTAAATAAATAAAGGTGATTTTAAAATGCTCCTAGAAAAGTGCAAGAAAAGATCAAATATGTGGGTGGAAGGAAAACTATTCGCAAGCAATTGTTGAAACTTGGTTTTCGATACAAGAAGTGTCGGAACAAACGTAGGTTGGTAATGGAAAGAAGTGACATTGTAGTATGGCATCTCGTTATTTAAGAAGATTAAAAGAAAACGAACAACCTGAATGTGACAAGAAACCCGTTATATACTTGGACGAAACCTATATTCACCCATCGTACGGAGTGAGTAAATGCTAACAATCAGATGAAGTATCGGAAGTTTATAATAGGGCTGGTCAGAGGACATCGTAGTATGCTTGTAGTCGTTCTGGTTTTGTAGAGGATGTCGCACAGTAAATCGGGGGATTATTACGATGATATGAATCATACCAACTTTATGCAGTGGTTAGAGAAGCAGCTTATACCAAATTTACCAGCAAACTCACGCACCTTATCAGTGTTCAAATAAATAAGCCACCAACAATGAATAATCGTAAGGAAGTGATACGTTCTTGGTTAGAAGCAAATAACATTCCTACGAGAAATGAATTTATTGACAATGTACAATTTATTGTGAACACCGGCAGTTCCGATGATGATTAGTGGTCAAGTGACGATAATGAATGAAAAAAGTTAAAGGTTGTGTGTTAATTTAGTCAATGTGAGTGTTATTAATTTCAATGTGATTGTTTCAATAACTGTTCATATTTACACAGGAGAAGTGCATCAGAATTGTAAATTGTGCTGAAGACAATCTTAAATGTGTTTACGTTTTGTAGAAATAAAATTATTAATTTTACTGTTTCCCCTTGAAGTAATGCAACTCATATCGTGTGGCCCACTTATTTATATTTAGTAAAGTCAAATTTTGCATGAGAATGTACAGTCTAAATTTCCAGCGTCCTCGGACACGCCCTGTCAGGGACCTTCTGAGCGTGGTGCCACTGTACATACCCTCTGCCAATGCTCCATTTTTGAGATATTTGAGTTATTGGCATTTGAAGTTTGTCGACTTTGTGGCTACCCGTATTCAAACTATGTTTTCGGCATTGCACACCTGAAATTTTGTCCCGCACCAAAATAAAATTTCAACTTATTTTATTCTTTCATTGCTTATTTTTATACTCACTGAGTGCATAAATAGATCTTTAAACTCGATCGCACGACAAATATACGATTTCCTTTATACCAGAATCTCAAAAATCTTTTCTCGATTCTGATGTTGTAAGCCCCTTACCAGCTTTGTATTGTAGTCTACTGTATTAAAAGTTCTTAACGATTGTAATGTTTCTTATTTATTCAAGACACAGTGTTAACAACATCATTCACCACACATTGAATTTCTTTTCAATTTTTGTTGCAATGAGAAACCATATTATTCTCAAGCCGAACCTGCTTGAAGGATCATTTAATTTGAAGCCGGTTCTGTTGTCGATTACTGCGCACACTCACCAACGGCCTGCGCAAGGTTCAATTGGAGTCAATTTTTCGCTACAAGACTGTCTCTCTATTTACTTATATACAACTCTGTGGTTATAACACACACGTAGCGTCCGCTCAGAAAATATAAAAATTACAATGTTGTCACTAATTAGTATCAAAAATGGATTCATGTGCTCAAAGAAAGAATTAATTTTGTATAATATGCCATAAACCAGGTCATTCTTGAATTGCATTTATCATTCAATATCAACAATAAGATCAATTTTCAAGACACGAAGCAGTATTTGAGTTTGACAACGACACACTTCCAAACCGATTTCTCACAAACTGCATAAGTGTGAACGAGTTCATTTCTTCATATACAGGATGTCCCGTCATATTTTTGGTGTTTAGTTCGAAATAACGTCTCCATGACATTATTTTCAAAATATATTATATTTCTTAAATATGTTGTCATTGAATACATAATTCAATATATTATGGTCATTCCTCATTCTTCAAACGAACAAAACGCGTTGTGGTCGCTTCTAAAATGACCATAACGCGTTGTGGTCACAAGTTAACGACCATAACCCGTAAAAATATTTAATTTCGGTGTTTGGTCATTTAGCTTCAGCCATAACGCATTGAGTGCGACATTTTCGCTCATTGAGCGTTTTCGATATTTGTGCGTAACACATACACTACATCACATTTCACAATAATGAATAATGGTCGCCGTTTTAAAATTTAAATCCCTAGTGATGAATTTTTAAAGAAACAAGATATTTTCTAGCGGTATAAAGGCAACAGCTACATTTGAATTCTTTTGAAGCAGCCCAACCCGTACCCTAACGAATGCTTAAACTATTTACAATCCGAATAAACTACCGGTGTTTACCATGTACAGGAGCTCCGGTCATTAAAGAAATTATTATGGAAAGCAAAAGATAAAAGGCTCAACGTCAATAAATTCTTATTGCAAAATTCCTGCTAGAATTCCACCATGCATTTTGTTCTCATAGCTCTTACGTTATACGAATTTCACGAATAAATGCAATACCTACTCGCACATTTTAAGTAAGTAAATCTTAATTGCATATTACATAATAATTTAAAATGTTTAAATAGGTACATTGTTAATGAAGACGGGCTTACTTGAAACCCCCCACTAAAACAAGCTGTAATTTCACATTTTCTTTCCTACTTGTAGGGTTTTACGACCAAGAACGTAATTAACTAAAACCATTGAATAAAAACACTATTTTTATTCAATGCTAAAACGTAATATCCAATTCAACGAGATACGATCACAAATTTGATGGATGTAACACTTTCTTGATCGCAACCTCACCTGAGAAAGAAATTGTATTAAACACTTGAGTAAACCTTTCATTTATAATGGCACTCATCTTTCATAACCTACGGAATTTCACTTTCAATGTTGCAAGTACCTCGTATCCCTTCATGCAGCTTTTTTCAAACAACTCAAAATGCCGAACGTGATAAAATTGGCTAAGGAAATTTCTCGCATGACAATGGCATAAACAATGATTGTCTTCAGAAATGTCACACAAATAAATTTTTTCAATTAGCGTCTTCGCTAAGAGGTCATACACCTTTGTACAGTTTATTGATTATCTATTACCTACATTCATAAAGATTAATTTACTGCGGCGAATATGTTAAGTGTGTAATCCGATAATTGACCTGATTTCTGTTATGATACATGCAATAAGTTGAAACTTCTAACAATAAGGCATAAATTTACCGTTGCCATACCATAAGATATTGTGCGATAAGTAAGATAGTTAATAATTCCATTGTACAAGTGAAAATTATTTCAAAATTGAAGGTGCTTAACTGTTTATGTGAATTGTTGGTATAAATCAAAAGCCGTAAAATCGAATACCTCTTTTGTACGAGAACTTCATAAATATTGATGACGTCTTACTCAAGCGTGCACCTTCGTTATTTACAGTTGCTACTTACATTTTTGAAGATTTTACGAACTAGTCCCCAAGTTTCTTAACCTATGCAGATGTTTTCGGCGATCAAACGAACTTGTCCAACTGGAAAAGGGAATTATGAATTTGATTTATAACAGCATTTTCCACCAAAGTTTTCTAAATATGCTTTTGCTATCTTTGACGCCAATAATTGTGATATTAGTTGTGTAGATTTTCAAATTCTTCTCTAAGTAGATGAAAATTTGCTGTTGACGATGTTACAACTGGTGCTGTGATCAGGGATCTTTTTTTCGTTATGACCCAGCCACCGTCCTGTACGTTTCTGAGCTGGTAAAGGTTGCAGTAGTAATTTTTTTCCAAATTCGCCTTGTTTTATTCTTTGAGATTCAACGTTCCTTCAGGCCTTTCGAGCCACAATTAAATACCTTTTGACTAAACGTAAATTCCCTATCACAAACTACATACTAAAATTTTAATTGGTGCTACGATTATGAACTTACTCACTGCTGACTGGTAG